CTGTAGTGGCGTGTATTTTACGAGTGCATATAATAATATAATTTTAATTTAAAATTATAATTAGAAAGTTTTACAAACCATTTAAGCAGAAACCATTTTCACTTTAACATTCATATTGCACTGAACTTAATTTATCTGAATATGATGTACAAGTCTCAAGTACAGATACAATCTAGCCATATAGTTTACTTTAATAACGTTAGTAATATATTATGATTAATTCAGTCATAGTAGACAGTATTAACAAATAAAACAAAAGTCAATTTCTAATGAATTATTTCCATAACTGAAAAAAATTGTTACATCTTTAATTTATTTGTAAATATAACTTACGCGTGTACTTGTAAAAATTATAGAACATTATTTTATAATTTATACCTGAAAAAGTTATAAGGTCTGTTGTACTTCAGTTTTTAATAGAATATGTCGATAAAAATGATTTACAAAGACATTAGTTTATAAGAACTATAAGATTTCTTCTACAGCGGAATGCGAGTATCGCGGAGTCCCGTATATATAAATAGTGTATACTTATTATACGCACCATTATAATACTTCTTACTGCAACGTATAGAAAGTGATTAAAATGAGTGGGTCGACCGAAATAGTACCGTTGGAAAATTTGTTGATCGAAAATCTTTGATCTGTTCTGAGATAAAACCAGCAACCTGTCGAAAAGTATTCACGAATATACACTCGCAGCGTTAATAATGGTTTGAGTACAAACATAATCACAAATTCACACTTCGTTTTGTAATTCATAACGAATCGGGATTAAACATACACACGGGGATAAATGTTCAACATGAATTAATACATGAAACAAAAACCGGAACACTGACTCATAATGTCCACGATGTATAATTTTGACATCGTTTCTTACTCGTTGGACTCAGTTTCTCCGGCCTCGGGATAATATTTATATAAACGATTGATATTATAGATTATATAAATATATAAATTGTTTTGTTAGGGCTGTACAGTGTTCCCTACCGGAGGCGAATTACACTACGTTATATTATATACATATTTGTACACCGTACATGTAATTTTACTCTCAAAGCTTAATATTTATTGTATTTGAAAAATATTTATAATCACGTTATACGAATCTACTGTGCGTGCGTATACGACCGCAGGTTATTCGAATTCCACGTCGGTAAACCGTTGAAATATCTCCCACCTGTCACCCGGACTACTTGTCGAACATCGTGATTTTTTGTCTTTTATTTTTGCGGTCTCCTAATAGTAGTCGTGCAACGCGACTATACATACTCCGAGATCTCGTATCATACTTACACCGCAACCGGTACACGAAACTATACGCGGTACATACGTGGTCAGATTTTGAGCGTTTGACCTAGATAATATAATAGTATAATAATAATAATAATAATGTAATATAGTCTAGCGCGTACTGTATACATTTAGGTTTGACGGTTAAACTACATCGCGTGTTGCGTTTGACAAAAATAAAATATAAAATCTCGAACACACGATAAAATTCATATAAGGCTCGATATCTTTGTACAAAATCATTTTATCAATAAATAATATTATTAGATTAAGATTATTAACTAGGGTCTTATGCACTAAAAAGTAATGAAATACGAGCCACCGAATGACCTAAAAAATCTTAAAATACACGCCAAAATATGCCCTAAAAACATAATAAGTAGCAACAACAACAACAAATAAATAATTTAAAAACCACTTTAATCCTTTTCTTGATGATTTAAAAAAAATTATGTTTATTTAGTAAACGATTTAAGAAGTCACAAAACTGTTTTTTACAATTTAAATTTAAATGTATACTTATATTAAATAAAAAATTAGTTAATTGTGTTGGTGAAAAAAAAATGACAATAAAACTGAATAAATATCAATACAAAACCGAAAATCTCGAAATACGTAAAATCTTACAGCTTAACATTTTAAATTTTAAATCCTATTATCATACAAATCAAATGTATAACCCGCTCCGGTATTTTTGTCAGTACTCTACGCGATAATTAGACAATTCAATGATAAAACCAGATTTGATGATCATACGATAAGGCGGCAGGGGTCTAATTTTTCGCGTAACAGGTGTAGTATACACGTATAGACAGGGCCGGTGAGAACTTCTGAGGGCCCCCTTCTCTTTACAATTGTACGACCAAGACGCACATGACCACTTTTACATGCTTTGGTACAACAAAAATATCGTATTATACGGCCCCGGGGCTCTAGCCCTCCCTGCCCCACCCTCTCGCCGGCCCTACGTACAGATAGGTATCATGAATCACGCGTCTAACATCTCTGACGCATACATATTATACAACGTTATCACACGTAAAGTAGCGAAAATAAAAAATAAATAAAACATTAATCACAGGCGTACGTATACAACAACCGCGGAGGCCTGTCTATACGAAGTCGATTAGACCAACACCGTTATTATCAAAAATAAAATTGTTATCATAATTATAATTCTATCATAAATTATAAATTTATAATAAATGAATTACATTATTTTATTTGTTAGAATGTAATATTATGATATAAATTCAAAATTGTATTGTTAAATAATGTAGGCAGTCAAGTTATTCTCAACATTTATTGTTTTCCCTGTATTTATTTATTTATAATTTAGACGTACTTAATATTTTAATATAAGAATAGGTAAGTATAAGAACATTAATGCGGCCGGCGATTAAAATTAATAGTTGAGTAACAGTAGTACTATAAAGAATTTAAAAATGTAATATAGGTGCCTAAACAATACATTACAATTAATTTACTAATTAACCGTTTATCTTATTTAAATTGTCAAATTATAGACAGTTAGATCTTCATTAAAGTAAACTTATTATGTAGTAGTTAATTTTTAATTAAAATACTTTTTAAAAACTTCTAACATTTTTGATTATCCTAGTTGATTTAATAATTATTGTGTAGTCAGTGCAGCTGTGTACCAAAAAACAAAGAATAATATATATAACTATATTAGTGAAGATAACTTGATATGAATGGGTTGTTTCAATTTATTATTATTTGTACCAATATGACATACATACATACATATTTAATGAAACTCTTAGTTTTTTGATTAAATCATTTTTTTTAATTTTATTATTTTATTATCTTTGGTGCGATTTTTTAAATTGTTATTTTTATTAAAATGGAAGATATTAGTAATAACAGTCTGAAACATATCCTAAATAATTCAAATATAGTGAATAATATTTCTCTTCAAGGAGAAACTAATGATTTAAATTTATCTATTACACGTTTATCAGAATTAGGTTTTGGCTATGTTACGGCAAAGTCGGTGAAATATGAAGGTAATTTATTAAAATGAGTATGAATGTTTAGATAGTTATTTATTGAATTTTCAAAAATTAATAATTTTAAAATTATCAAGTGACAGGTCTCTAAATAGTACTATAGAAATCATAATTGATCAATTTTTACCAGAATCATTAAAAAAATACCATTTAAAAATTTTAAAACTTACTGGAGAGTGTAAAAAATTTCTGATGCTATACCTAAATTTTTACATGGAAGACCTGAACCATTTGTCAAGCATATTTATAATAGACTTTCTACTGCTCAAAATATATATTCTGAAAACAAAATAAAATAGTTAGAATTGGAACACACATTTCATGTAAAGAGTGAAGATGGTATATCTTAATATTACATTGTAACATATATAATAATGTAATTCATTTATTATAAATTTATAATTGATGATAAAATTATATTTATGATAGAAATTTTATTTTTGATAACAACAAAATGATAACGATGGTGTTTGTCTAATCGACTGCGTATAGACAGACCCCAACCGCGGCAGCAGTATCGGTTATCCGTATGGCGAACCGAATGGAAGTGCGCGGTGCGTTACATTTGGCATTTACGTGTTTGGATTTCGTTGCCCTTCGTGACCCGAGTTGAAAACGCGCGTTCTCAACCTTGTAGCGATTTTATCAACAACACAAGTCCTACGTAGAGATTTATTATGTACGCGAACAGCGAACTCCTAGAAAGTGTCTATGCAACGTCAATACGTACTACACACATACGAGTATACTTAAGATAACATGCGAGTGCATTGCGAGCACAACAATTATTTTATTTTCAAAGATTTATTTTTATTTTTGTTTTCAAATATCATTGAATTGTCATAAAACGTATTATATCCGTCGAAGAACTCTCAAAGTATTTATTTGCCTGGTAGAGTACGATGCAACTGCAGTATGTAAACACAAAATATCTACACTATATGCATTTACATTATTACTTATATCAGACGCATAAGAGTATTTACCGTGGCAATATTGGTCAGTCGAAAACCTACTCAAAGAAGTGATTTAGAAAGAAAAACATATAAAATATATTTATTTATCCGCCGTGACAATTATATTAATACTTTTGTAATTTTTTTCTGTTTATTTTTGTATATTCGTCCATGGTCCGCTGAAAATGACTATGTCTAAACAATAAAGCGCATCCGATTTGCATACTCGTGTACGTACTATATGTTGTTTTCGAAAACAAATGAATTCAACATATATTTCACTCTGGTAGTCCGGTGCGTTGCCAACTACTTTATTATTGTTGTTATTATTACTATTCATATTTATTGTAGTTTATTTAACATCCCGGTGAGAATAACATAATTGAACTTGCAACAGTTTAAACTATGCACATTTGAATTTATATAATACGCGTACGAAAATAACTATCCGGTGCGAACGATTTCTACAGATTTCATGCATATTAAATATGAGCATGGATATTATATACTTTTCGACATATTATATGTATATAGTATATATGTAAGCTTTATTAATTGACGGAACATAAAACTCAGCCACCGATATAATCATTGTTCTATCGATCATAGCGTGTATTATATTGTGTGTTGAAATTACGCGTTTTATAATAACTATCTATTCCTAAGGAATAATAATCATGGAAAAAATGTATTACATTATAATTTTTTTTTTCAGCTCGCCGAGTCATGTGGAACAAATCGTCGAGCGTAAAAACGTTCAATCAACGTGATTGTCAGTCATCGTACATTGCTGGTAAGCGGTCAAAATTTGACACACTAAATTTTTTTTTTTTTTACCACCAAATATGTACGTTGATTTTTAAATCGAAAAATATCTACTACCTATGCTTATCACAGTTTATACCGATGCAACGTGTATCCAAAATTGGCACAGCATACCTGTCATAGCGTAGCACCAAAATATGGCGGGCGTCGGACGTAACTTTTTTTCACTAACCATATTATATTCGCGAGTGCAATAGTAAAACCGGTTAGACCAAACTACCTGCAGTTTTTTCTTTGAATATAAGTATAATATTCTTGTTATATATGTACATAAATATACAGGATATTTCTGAAATTGACGAGATCACTAGTGCACTCACTGTGATGATAGAATGAAGGTTTTTATGAATTTTTTTTTTCTATCTTCAAAATCTTAGTTCAAAAACTTATTATATTATTCAATACACTTATGGAATCGTTATACAAAATATTTCTCAGACCTAGGTATCAAAGATGGACGTTTGAGAGGAAGGTACGTTAAATATATTTTTAAATACTATTTTATCAAATAGTAATTGCACAAATTTACTATATATTCAATTAAAGCCTAAAACTAATAAATTCTTTAGTTAAACAATTTCATATTTGATCTATAAGGATAAAATATAAGAACTATAATATTCTTTATAGTAACTAATACTACATAAGAGTTACCAACGTCCTTGTGTCTTAAGACCAAAAGGAAACAAACATTGTAATTATTAATCGATATTTATAAAAAATGTATGATTAAATAGTGTTGTGAATAATTTTTTTCCCATTAAATTAATTTTTTTTAATAGTTTAATGATTGATAAATAATATGGATTGTTTCGTTGATATAAGGTCGAATAATTAATGTATAAAAAACTACCTAACAGGAAACAAAACAATTATAAAGTTTTGATTTTAATTTTAATAATATTTTTTTCATCATTTGTTATATCGTCCTAAAATCAGTAACGCGTTTTTACTTAGAATAAAAAATGAAGTTTAACGTGTATCATTTATACAAGTTCGTTTTATTACTTATATCGATACTTATCGGAACTCCTGCTGTTGGAACTAATACATCATAACCCAAACGATTATACTATGGATTGTAATTATAAGAGTACTCGTAGTCACGACCTCGCGTAGGCATATCCTGCAATGTCTATAAACTCGCGTGTTGCTAGTGAACTATGATTTTTATTTTTTATTGGTGGGATACGTTTTATAGATATAGAAGAACATAAAAATGTTTACCGTATAATGTTTAGATAAAAGCGTGGATCTTAAGATTATGATTTCGTGGAATAATGTAATTAATCCGTCCGGGTGAAAACTAAAACTACTCGTAGGCCCGGAGATCTAACGAGACAGTGAACTTTATCGGAGTGTATAAATTTTCATTTCCGACCTTATTTGCTGAATACATTTTGAGAGAAACGGTACTGCTAAACATAATTACCATTGCGACCCGTTGGCAATATGCGCATGCTCAGAATAGAGTCGAAACCCATTTGTTATTTGTCACAATATCATATTGTTGCCAAATATGGTACAAGACAACCATTAGGGAAAATAGCATCATTTAACTTTGTCAGTCTGCACTACAGTGGTACTGTGAATAATGTAATAGCCAGAGAGAGAGGGATAATGATTACGCACAGATGTCCTTTACCCGTGTACCAGGACGACGGTGGCGGCGACCATATATAAAAGTTAACTAATTGAGCAAGTCACCTAAAAACATTTTCGCAGGACGTTTCTAACCGACTGTCCGTATACGAGACATATCGGATCGATTAAGTGAGCCGAAGTATCGGAGATGAAAGTTGTCTTATCGCCACGACGAAAGTGTACTCGAGATTATCGTGAAGAGTCTCTTGGTTCCGTTAGCGCGCACTCCTCGAATCAGAACACGAAAACAAAACCAAGTGACTCTTCATTTTTAAACGCACAATACGTTCTCAGCGACCTTTTCTAATTATTTTAAACGACATTTCAGCCATCGAGTGTCTTCGAAATGGTTGGTTTTATGTACAAGTTAGTTTGAGCACCGACCACGTTAGAATATTGGGGATAGCATATAATCGAACCTTAACAATTGTCTTGTTCGATATCTTCAAATATCGCTTGAAGTTTAGGATCGGGGACGGCAGGAAGTAGTTATAATTTCGATCTAGAGAAGCCGCTGGTCACAGTGACCACAGTTTTATACGTCAATACCGAGAGGACGCGGACTGATCGTAACCACAGGGCTGGCGTAAAGCTAAATGACGCCCGAGGCTAAAATGCCTTTTTCATACAACAAACCGTAATATCATTAAACTTAGAAAAAATGATATATTATGTTCAACTTGTACATCATTTGTTATTGTCTAATTTTTTAGTCACGAGTCACGACGACTCGACGCGATCCCGATTGAACGATAACAAATATTTGAGAACTATAGCAACATATACAATAAAACATTCTACGCCAAACGACAGTAAATATACTTAAAATATACTTCTATATATACGTTCTATATATTCGTTATATAAACGGAATAACCATAATTATTATCAAAATTCAATACAAAGTTGTAGGTATTTTATATTAGAAAAATAATATTACTGGCGTTATGTGCTAAATTGTAAAAAAAAAACAATAATGGCGCCCTAGGCGACCGCCCGAGTCAACTTATCCTCACGGCGGCCCTGCGTAACCATTACGACAATATCGGTGAACATAGGTGGTACTTTTTTAAAATATAAGTGCATGCGCTGCAGTGATTCCCATTTTAGGTCATGAACAATTCAGCGCTAATTAATTCATATGAGTTACAGAAGCTAATAGGCGACTTTGTTGTGCACGCACTATTTAATGCAAGCTACTCTACGTGAAATTCCGATATGCGTTTTTAATTTTCACATGCTTTTGACCACAATGCGTACAACATACGTCCGTATATAATTTTTCTCCGGTTTCTTGCACCGTCCGTTCATGCACGTTCTACATAAATATTTATATATGTACAAGAGTAATTATACATATTACAAGTTCGGGTGTATATTTGATATGTGTCGTAATCTGGATTTTCAATCTCGATTGTTCATTCGTACATAATATTGGTATAACTTGTATATGGTATATCCGTATTAGCGTACCGCATTGTTGCACGTACCTGCAGTTAAAATCACATTGTACGGAGACATTTAGAGAATAATTCTTTTGAGATAGTACGCGCGTGTTATTACGAACTACGTAATATACCATCCCGTAGATTCTCGACGGTATCGTATACACCTGTATGTGATTACGTTCACAGGATCCGGTGGTTACCGATGTTACGGACTGCGGACGTCCTGAAAACGTGACACGTGAAAAAAAAAAAAAAATCAAGCCGTACCACAATAATATCATATACTTTCGACACTCTGCATTGTTTCGACTTGGACAGTGGTCCAAGAACACGTGATTTTGTTTTGGCTGCGGCGAAGTCGGATCAGAAATTCGTTTCCCGAGAACGCCGACTTCGAACCGCTATCCCTTTAAATCTCCGCGCAAACGAAATATTGCAAACGTGCATATTGTATGTAAAAGGAACAGCGTAATTATAACGTGGTGCAGCGGGCAGGTGTGTAACGCTACAAAACCGCCGCGGCCCAGGGTAAACGGGCGTGAATGAATAAACGAAACAAACGTAATATTATAATAACGGACGCACATATCTAGTGAATATTTTTCGCTAGTGTCACAGCCGTCTATATAAATAATAATAATAATACAACATTGTAAGTATATTCCACGTACCTGGTTTATATACGTGTATAGTGCGGTTTATCTACATATAAACGCGCGCATGCGCATTTATACGAACATAGAATTGATATATTTTTTTATTCCTTTTTTTTTTTTCTTCTTTTTGTTGGCAATGGGTTTTCTGGTCACGATTGATCATTGTCCGCGCGCTGTTCCAATGCCTGGGTACCTATATAAACCTATATAGTATATATACTGCATTAGTCATGCAGCATTACATCTGGGAAAAATATTCGTGTACTTAATGACCTCGGTGCCAAAGAATACAACCTTCTATGTAGCCTAAGACTAAGACAACATTACGTGTATATGGTTCATATTTTTATTTCAGAAAATATTTGCAATGCTAATATCATGGACGAGTAATGGGCGACCGAGAAAACAGGGTTTCGCCCAGAGTTTAATGTTGATGATAACTGAAAACCCGAAAAAAGGGTTAAGGGTTATTTCCAACAGCCTAATTGCGCATAGAAATAATACACCGCCAAAAGCGTTTCGAAACTTACAATGAAAATGTCAATTGACGCATGTTTATCTGGCCTAAAAAAGTCCTACTTCGACACAACCTTGCGTCACAGCCTTGGCCTCTTGAGAATTCATTTGTGTTCCATCTAGTCACATTTACAAAAAAATAACCGCAATAATAATTATGATGATAATACAATGTAAGTACGCGCACACAGCTCAAGAGGAAGTTTTTCTTAATTCACTTAATGGACGGCCGAATTAAGAAAACATCAATCATTGAAAAGAAATTGAAATGTCAGCTATGCCCATGGTTAGTCAGTCGGTTGGGCGTGTATCTTTACTATAATGGTCACCACCTGTATTTCGCAACACAGATCCAATTAAAAATTTAAGAATAAAATTATTACTGCAAGGATTCGTGTGAACATTTTGGTTAACGCCAAACATTGTGTTTGTTTTCGTTACGAAGGCCACACTGTTTCGAGTCTCGATCAATTGTTAGTGGATTTGGACTTGCTTGTTGTGTTCAATTTCGCGTATGTACAACAATTATAAATTATTAAAAAATTATAATAACCTGACAACTCGTAGTCATTTAATACTACATAGATTCGCTAATAAGAATTAGGAAAACAAATGCAACTGTCTGTGGATAGTTTCTAATTGCATTACGGCGATATGAATAAATAAATATATAAAAAAAAAAAAATTGCACTATGAATTCACCAGTCGAAAGCTACCGAAAACGTACAATTTTACGCGTCTAGACGTCTAATGGTATATTACATTTTTAGTATAAAACACGAAATAGTACCGAGTACGCGCCGAAATAGATAGAAATCAAATCAGCATTTATGAAGGAAAAATTTTACGAAACAGTGAATACTATAGTAACGATATGGTAATCAATATTTTTTTGGAAAGCATAATCAGATTCTACTGATGAAATCGATAACGGTTGAAGTACAGGAAACGTAAACGTCATCTCGACGAACTCGACGAGTATTTTTTTTTTTTTTTTTAGTATATATTCAAATTGTTTTTAACAGAATGTTCTGTACTTAATACTCCTAACGATAAGAATACGCTAAAATGTAATGTTTTCGTCGTGCACCATCCGGTATAATAGTAAAGCCGTGTGTACCCCTACTATTCACGATAATATTATCCGTGCTTAGAATTAAAAATAATTTTCAAGACAGATATAATATTTTTATGTTTTATTTATTATTATTATTATTTTCATAGCCATAGGTATTAGTACCTGTTTCAAAGCGTTCTTCGCCGCTGCAGACGCAAACACATACACACACACACAATATGTGTATATGTATAAGGTCATTATAATAATATAGGTTTATAAATATATTATGCACGAATGCTATATCGCTTTAGAAAACAACACAAAACCGTGACAATCGTCACGCAAGTGCGTACTGTCGGATTTGTTTTATTAATAACCGAACCGTCTCGTATGTATAATAATATCGCGCGGTAGAGTACAATATAAATGTACACATATTATATATATATATATATATATATATATGTGTTCGCACATTGGTGCCACCGCGCGCGGGGGACGGTGTGGAGCGGAGCGCAGCATCAGCCGCCGGTGAAATGTTCCGCGCGACCATATCCGAACACTTTTTGATTTATTTATATGCTAATGAGCGAACACCGCGGAGAAAGTCTTGTTGGTTTTAAGTATTATTCACAAAACGTATCCGCCGCGCCATGTGCGGGTAAACGGTTTTAATGAGACGTTAAAATAAAGCAGGAGTAGCGCCCCGGTGTACACATATTCGTATATCGTTATGTTACGATAAACGGTGTGCGCTACACGCGGACACGACGTGATTGCAGGATTTGCTGCTGATGTACAACAGATAAAGGGACGGATAACACGTGCATAGCAACCGTCACGGCAAACCACTCGGCTCGCTGTTACCGTTGGTTGTTTAATCCTGGGTTTACCGTGTCCTCCCCTCGTACGGCGCACCGGGAACACAATAATTCCTCGATTACAGACGCGAGACTCCGTTGTAATACGATTTTCTTAAACATTTAATGTAATCGTGTAATGTACTCACACACACACACACACACACACACACACACACACACACATGTATACAACTCATTACGTAGTGTGTACACGTTCTGGGAGACATGTGATGAGTCCGACCGATGCGATCTTCGATGTCCAGCAGATACAGAGCGCGCGGCTATATTAAAGCATTATTATTTTCTTCGATGTTTGTAAAACAACTCGGTGACTACCGCGGCGTGTACCGACCATTCGACAATAAAACAGAAATTATCTCCCGTAAACGACATCGTTCCAACGTTTCGTTGACCTGAAAAACGTTCGCGTCTACGTTTCACGCGATGAACCAAAGCGCTGTGGTATTATCGGGAAATATCAAGCGCCGATCCGTTCGCTGTCCCGTCATAATCCGGCGAACGGGTATAAACGATTCAAAACCTAAAAACCGTATAATATCGACCGTTCAAAGTGACCGAACTCGTCGTAACGTGCCGGCCAAAACTCGTCCGAATGTCTTATCAATTATTCTCGTAGCAACGGCGAACGTCTTTTTCCGCCGCTCATAACGCGGCTCTTTTTTTGACTTAAAAGAGACATCCGATTTCTCGTTGTTTTTGTGACGTGGCAGTTTTTCCGGCCCAAATCTGACTGCAGGTGAGCATTTGCGCTTCAGGTGCGGCTCCAGAGCCTTGATTAGGGGGGAGGGCCAAGTTATAATTTTACAAAATCTTATATCAAAAAGAAAACAACACAAATTCAAGTCGTCCATTTTTAAAATTGGCAATAATATCAATAATATGATCTATTTGATCTAGAATATCTATTTTATGATATACATTAATTAGACATAATGCTGATAGTCTATCTTCAGTTATCCTTGAACGAAGCCAGGTTTATTGTCTCCGAAGTGTGGAGAAACGCCTTTCATCCGTCATACCTCTATGGCTCTATCTACATACTTGTGCGTGTCGTATGATAGTCCATATTATAATATGCATTTTTTGTTAACAATATAAATTTTTTTTATAAATACGGTACGAGCTTGGGGGGACCGTGGCCCCTAGGGCCCCCCTTGGAGCCGCCCTGGTGCTGCATGTCGTGTTCCGTATCCGCTACAATTACAGTGACGACATGCCGTCGAGAGGGATCATTATACTCTTCGCGTTTTATAATCATCGCGTTTCGCTTGCCGACCCGTGCCGGTAAATCCCATCACGCACTCAACAAGCGCATTAACTGATTCCTTAATTACTCCGAACCGGTTGTACTGTTTTCTCATCACTTAATAACAACCGTGGTCGTAACAGTAATAGTATATGGTCTTTGTGCTGTTTTCTTCTTTCTCGAGACCGGAGCGCGCGATGTTTCGAGAGCAAGAGAAAACGATCGGGAAAACGATCCAGGGAACGCATCATTGTGACTACATGGGCGCCTGTGAAACATTAAAAACCATGTTATTGGATTATTATGTTATCCGATTTTCGTGTACGCAACGTTAATTTGATTAATTTTTTTTTAGACAAGATAAAATGTATTTTTTTAATTCAACTGTTATACTAATTGATTAATAAGACATTAATAAATAAATAAATAAACGCTATAATAATTTAATTAATTTTTTTTTCATGATAAAATCACATAATATTAATAGGTTTTTAGTTTTTTTTTTTTTTTTTAATGTAATTGGGCCAATGTAAACGAGCGATGGTGTTCAAATAGTAAGTAATTTTCGTCAGATCCGGATTGTTATTACTGTTGCAGTAAAGCGCAAGATAATTAATTTTTTATAGGTCTGATTTGCTTGGTTGTTTTTCACTGCGCGTAGAATATAATTTTCTCGCACGAGACTTTATGTGATGGTTCGTATTTTTTTTCAGACGCTGTTTAATGGATATCGACGCACATGATTCGGACAGACCAAGTCGGTGCACGATGTACCAGGTACGTAAATACGTTCTAGTCCAATTATTATCAAATCAACATTAAATCGTAATAAAACCCAAAAAGCTGATCACGCGGTTGGCAATATAACATTCGTGGACCTTATTTTTAAATAGAAATAAAGTTTTTCACTGCAAACATCTTATTATGGAACAACATAATATCTTATAATAATATAATAATAATGTTAGAATGGGCGTTGTGTCGATGTATGTAAATGAGCAATTAATATTTTAAATGAAAAAAAAAATCATCAACTGAAACCAATTCGTCATGCATTTTCTCCGTGAAAATCAGTATCCGATTTAAAAATGCAGCGGGCATAGTGTTTTTTTTTTTTTTTTAATCTGCCGTCAGTTTTTTATAATATACATAGACATATCAATCATAATAACGCTAGGTAGGTATGCGGATTTCTATTATATGTTAATTTCAATACTCTCTATGGGTACAATATGTTTGTGTGTGTATGTGTGTGTGTGTGTGTGTAAGTTGTGCCTGTTGTACCATTTGCTACGAATGACCGGTTTTGGCTGGGCAAAATGTAATATTTATTGCCGAAATAAAATGTTATGGTGGCCCGTATAGAGATTACAATAAAATTTGACACAGCAGCGTGTTTAGAATGATCGCTTCAAGCAGCTCTAATGTATAATCCTGCTGGTCGTAAGAATTAAGACACCCGATATATGTACACGATCTTGAAGAAATTCCATTTTAATATTTTACCTAATTGGTTTATTTCCAATGAGTGTCATCGTAGTTTAAAAAAAATGTTTGAAATGTGAGCAGTGTATTATACTCGTATTATGCATATTTTGATGGATAACCAAATAGGTAGTACAAAGCTAATTGATGGTATATTATTGTAGTGCAGTTTCTAGGTCTTATACAAAAATGTAATTTTTAAAGAATCAAATAAAAAATAAATCCCGTAACGGTTTTTTAATTACTGTTTATGTTTTCGATGAGACTGCCGAATAAGCACAGCTAATTATTTGCTCCGTAAAACTATATGGTTATAAAAAAACCAACGTTTTCATAAATTATACTCATTTGGCATCGTACCACATTTGTAATTAAACAATTTAAAACGCTTTCCAATTTATGAGAATTATTTAAATCAATTGAATTGCAATCATATATTTTAAATAAGAAGCATTACTCGTATTGCAAAGTACATAAATTACAATATTTCTGTTAGCTTTTACACATTTTACGTTGGCTTAACACGAGATTAAAATATAATTATTTTTTTGTGCTTAATAGCATGTTATAATTGCATAGCTGAAAACTTCATATTCGATTTAAAATATGATTTATTAACATTTATGTTCTCATTTGATTATATTTAAACGTATTTTTACAAGTAAAATATTTTTAGCACAAAGTATTTAAATTGCCTCATTTATTATATTATTTGTATTTTATATTACGTATAATTCGAATATAATGATAACAAATACATATGTATATTAATGATGTAAAAAAATCGAATATAATAATTTAACATTGATCGATAAACTAAATTGTTATTTACTAATAAAAAAAATATAATACGTATTTTATTTTAATAGCTATAATTATAAGCAAAAATTATGAATTTATTTTTATTCAAATAATTTACATTAGTAGCAGGTGCAGCTCCAGGGATCTATTTAAGTGAAAGGCAAGTCCCTAAATATTAATTATTAAAAAAAAAACGCATTTTTAATAACAAATTCTAGGTGTCTACTTTTAGTCTAAACAAAAGTAACTAAAATGTCATCTATATAATTATAAATATCAACTTCTCTATGTGCCGTCTTTTTTTGTCATTATCAAACAAAGCTATGTTTTTAGTCTTTTTAAAGTTAAAGAACTTCTTCCTGCGATAACGGAACTTACTGATGAAGATGCCATTATATTTAGTAATGTTTTTAAATGTTGATAGAATTGAGAAAAAATAGTTTTATTGTAAGAAATTCTTATGCACGGGGGCGTGGCTCATTCCTTCTCCCCATTAAGCAACGCCTAATTACTAACATATTGTAATTTATTTTGTGTTAGTTACCTTCTATATAAAATTAATTAATGCCATATTAATATACTAATTTAATTTTGAATGAAATATTATTTTATATTTCTATCAAACATTTGCAAAACATAACTTTAACAATTATTCAAAATTATAATACATTCGAGTTATAAATTAATGAAATTAATAATAGTTACATTAATTATAATTTTTTCATTCGAGTACATAAAATTAATGATAATTACGATTATAAACTGAAGTTTTATTCTGTTCAGTTCATTATACATCGATGTAGTTAACATTAAAATTCTTAGTTTTTAACTATTGTATATATAATCTATTTATATATCTATATATCTATTTCCTAAAGTAATTCTTATATTAATAATCATATAAATGATTAAGTTTTATAATCATTATATGTATACTAATATTATGTTATTTCAACATTCCCGATGATTTCGTATAGAGTTATTTACTATAAAAGCGAAAAAAGTACAATTGTGTCGATTATATTCATAGTGTAACGTATTTCGAAGAAATTAAATTATTAAATATAAACTATTTATAAGAACTATTACAAAAACTGCGCAGTAAAATATTTATATATATATATATATATATATGTATTTAATGATCACTCTTAGGCATGATTTATGATTTCGCGCCCAGATTGATGAATTAAATATTGTCGAAGGCTAACAGAAGTACAATAATAATGCACATTGAAAATTATAAAGTATTTTCTTTCAATGAGTCTGTTGATTGTTAGTTAGACATGGGGCCACATGAATAACGAGTAAATTTCATGAGGACAATGTCAACGGCTTCTTGTTAAAAAATAATAATAATAATAATAATAATAATAATAATAAATGTACCACTAGAAATTGGGTCACTTGTAGCGATTACACGTTCCCGCCTCCGCCAGAAGAATTACATAGACCGGTAATCACCGGTGGGTAATATGATCTTTTAACAACCACGTTTAAGTTGATAATTATGAATCGATTTTCTTGTAATCAATTTAATATACGTAAAATGTCCAAGAGTTTTAGCAGGCGTGTCGTATAGGCAATTGCAATACGTGTAAGAGTGTATAAATTCAGGGACTACCCATGTTTCTAAAATGTACGGCTCAATAATAAATGTAATGTTCTCAGCTTACTAAAGTTAGGGTTAAGTACTAGTTTAGAAAATTATGTAAATTAACGTTCTTCAAAATTAAATTATAATTTTATCAAACCAAATAATTAATATAATAAGAAACGGAATGGATAATCGAATAATGTAGTATATTATAACAGTTATGATTGTAATGATGATTATAGATTATTTAAATGTTATATAGGTTTTAGATATATTGTTTATATAATATAAGAACGATTTTTAACCTGGTCAATAACCCAAAGTGCGTAATGTTTACAACGAATTTAGTAGGTTTTTTTACTAACTACCGAATGTGTTAATCTGACGAAAACAATTGTTATTCATAAATCATTGCAATAACTACCGCTATAGAAGGTGCACCTCGGTAAATATGGCAAGCATATACGAACGAAAACGCTAGGAAAAAAGTATTCAATTCAAGACGCCTTAACCTCAATCCACTAATAATAAACTGTGATCATTTTGTATCGGTCTCGACGTATGTACTCGGTACAATGCAAGCAATTTATTATTTATTTTCTCTCGTTCATTATTTTTGCTGCCCGACAAAACTTGTTCATTTTCTTTTTAGATTAAATCGTTATAGCATCTTACCGGTGACAATTTGTCATAAAGACACAATGTATGTAAACGGGACCGCGATATTAATAATGACACGTTTACCACACATCGAGTGTAATGTTGTTTGCGACAACGACGACGGTGTAGGTGTAGTTAGCAGTGGTAGCGGAAGGAGGACGAGCGCCGTCTCATTGTGTGTAAAACGATAGGACGAATTACAATAAAATTATTTTCGCCCACTGATTGTCAATTTTACAACGGGACCTTCCGGAGCCATAATATAATACATATAAACAAGTATACATCGTGTTTCGTGTACCATAGTCCATACGTCTATACTATCGTCTATACGTGGAAAAAATTTTTTTCCTTTCGCGCTTTATAATACAGATTTACGGCAGGTTCCTTGTTTTTATGTTGGTATTTATTATTATTGTTTTTTCTTCCGTGGAAATTTGAAAATTTTATGTACAGTAACAACATATAATATATATATATATATATATATGTATACAACAAGTACACGTGTTGCTTAATAAAGGCAACGAAGAAGTGCTTAGTGTATGATATGTAACAAAATATTTCGTACTTACAATACTCATTTTACACGATTTTATTATGGTACAAAAATTAAATTTCAATTATGATGGAAAATAAATACGTGATACGTCAGAATATGGGCTGAAAATTATAAACCAATATCACCACATAAAATTGACGATTAATTAATATACCTAATACATGTCAATTGTGTATTTCACATTTAGAGCTGAATGATTATCACGTGAATGAACGTATGTTGCTTCATAATGTATAATATATTGCTTTTTCATAAAAAAAAAAAAAAACAATAGTAAACTTTCGTGGAAATTTCACAAGCAAGTTGTATCGGTCACAACAGAAAGATTTTGATAAATTTATATTATAATATATTGTAAATTCATGTACACAAATGTTGTATATGTACTAAACATTTGGTGAATATTGTACTGCTAAATTTGTGGACAAAGTTATTGGTGATGATAGCCGCAATTATGGATAACTGTAAAAGTTCAAGCTTTTTTGCAAACACTCGCTTCTCATCTGACAAATGTTTCATCTCAAAAATCAACTTAAAAGCTGTGTGACCAAATCAAATAAATGTACTCTTAATGAAACTATATATATAATAATAATAATACTATAATTGAATATAAAATGTTAGGTACTCAAATCTACAGAAGCACCATCGACGGGTTATGACTGCATTTTT